TCTCTCTCTCTCTCTCTCTCTCTCTCTCTCTCTCTCTCTCTCTCTCTATCACACTCTCTACCTGATACACATACAGCGCACACAATTTTATAATATATGAGCTTGATTCGATTGAAACGGACGCTAGCACACCACACACAGCGCCAACAAAACAAACGACTGAACATTTTCAGCTCCTCACTACGTATATACCGTTAATTTTTCCAACGTTCGGCTGCTACAACACACATATGCAACCACTCTCTCTCTCTCTCGCACACATACACACACATCGACCGACCGACCGACCGACAGACAGAGCGAGAGACAGCAAAGAGTGAAGCGAGTCAAGTTGCCTGTGAGTCGGTGCTGTTGCTGCTCTGCTGAATTCCGCGCTACGGAACCGGGCCACATACAGCATATATACACAGTGCGACAGCATTCGTTTCCATCACACTCTCACAAAGCTTCAATCATTTTCCACAGGCATTTTCCCATGGCTTCTAACGAATTTTAATTCAGTCGAAACATGCGCTCGAAGTAGTCGGAAGTCCGTTTTTTATTTTGTTGTTTTTCAGTTTTTGTTCTCACACAGAACACACCACAATAGAAAGAAAGACAGAAAAAAGAAAGAACGAATTTGAAATTGATGCACACACACACACAATTAAAACGGATATAAAAAAAAGTATGAATAGAAAACTTAAAAAATTTACGAACACAATACACGAAACAAACAAAAAGACCCAAAATTCTATCAACAACCGAAAAAAATAAAAAGAAATATATTTAAAACTTATATTAGATTAAATTCTGATACAAAACAAACAAACGAATGAAAAAAGTAATCGCGTCCGCGAAACTAACACCGTATGAAAATATTTTGAACGAGAAAATGATGGAATGAAAATTAAATAAAAAAATTGTTTGTTTAAGCAATGAAAATTGCGGTGTTTGAATTTGCAAAGTTGCGCAAAGTATTCGACATAGCCGACGAAAAAAATTGAAAGGAATAAAAAAAAAAAACGGAAATCGCAACGGAAAACACTAAGCTAAACTATTTAATGTAAATTAAATGTGAATTGTAGTTATTTTTGTTTCGATGCAACCAAAAAGTATTATGTGTGTTTTGTTGATTTGTTGAATTATAAAATAAATATAGAAAAAAAGATCCAAAGAGAAGAAAAAAGAAAGCAAAAAGAAAAAGAGAAAAAAAAATGCAGTCACGGAAAAATTACTACACTAAAAAAATGTGGAAATGATCAAACAACAACAGTATGAAATCAGAATGATCGACAAAGTTTTTACCTAAAATATCTAGAAAATAATATACCAAGCTATTAAGCAAAGAAAAAAAACCAATGCCAACACTCGAACTCAAATCAAAAGAGCGAACGAAACCAAAAAAATTGATAACAATTTAAATTCTAAACATTTTTCGAAATGCTTGCATTTTTAAGTGTTTGTTGTATATATATATATGTTATTTCTTGTCCGTTTTGAACCGGATTGACTGCTGCTGCTGCTGCTCACTTGTACATGTTTTTTTCTAGTCTCTGTGTGCTTGTTCTTTTTATTATGTTGGAAGATGTTTTCATTTCCAAAAGCAAAGCTAAACAGTTTAGTTCGTTTTTTCCCCTCTATTCATTTCATTCAATCCGCTTAGAATGTTGCTGTTGCGTTTGTCTCATGCATTTTTATAATAGTCCATTAAAATTTATGTGTGCACATCTACAAAAGTTTGCAAGCCACGTCAAAAATCCAAGAACGTCAAGTGCAAAGAAGCAAAGCACTTCTGTTTCAACTGTGTGTTGTTTTTATGGTTCTCTGAATTCGTTCACTTCAACTGCTCGGCTACCCACAAATAATGCATTTTGTTTGCTCTCTCTCTCTCTCTTCGCCATGCTCCCTGCCATTTGCTCCTTGCTCCTTGCTCGTTGTGGATTGTTTTTGTTGTTAGTGTGTGTTGTTTGTGTTTTTCGTGTTGGGTTTTCATAGCTTTTAATGAAATTGCCATGTTATGCTTGATCGCCTCTCAAGTATGCACCATTTACACAATCGTTTTTCTTCTTCTTCTTCTTCTTCTTCTTCTTCTTTTTCTTCTTCTAAATCCTCCTTACCCTTTCTCACCGCATTTTTCTTTCTGGTTTTTTTTCCCTTCATCCTCTTTCTTTGTTTCAAGAAGTCTGCTCATTTTCATTTTCCCTTTTGTTTCGTTCAATTGTTGTTTGTGCATGCTTTTATAGTCTTATCTTACATTTTCAAGTGTACTTTCGGTTCGTCATCGTCAGCTTATGACAAGTCATTGAACATTGAGCGTTCTATAAATGCTCAAAATAGTGAAAACAAAAAAAATATAAAAATGAAAATACTGCTTATCACAAAGTTATTTAAGTTCGTTCGATCTGTTTCCCATCCCATTGTTTGGAATTGGTCTTGGAGAACTTATCATCTTCACTCGTTTTGTTTTCATTTTTCACTCTTTGTTAAATCGATGGTAATTGTGCGGTCTTCTCTTCGGGAATGGCCATTTATTGTGAAAATAATGAACGACAACAGCCCAGCAGAACAAACAAAAAATTGCAAAATATTCAGATCGGAGGGTCGTTTTTTTATGATTGTATTGACATGTACGCGCACCACAAAATAGATTTGTGACATTATTTATTTAATGATTTGCGTTCTATTTCATCGACGCAAATCATCGAGAGATCCTCGATACGATTGGAAAATTAATCGAAGCACAACGGAAAACGTTCACCCGTAATGGGAAGTGATTGAAATTCATTTGAATGGATGTGCGAATAAACGCCAAAAAAGCGGAGCGAGACCAAAACACACTCAAACACATACACACGGTGGTTTGTAAATGAAACGACTTGTTTAATGCGGCAATGATGTTATTACGTCCAATTGCCAATCCAACCTATATACGGTTATTTGGGTTTTTTCCTCTCTCTCTCTCTCTATAATATCTACCAGTTCGACTCATTCTCTCACTCTCCTTCACCCGTGTGACTGTCATCGTCGTCGTCTTTTTTTTCAGTGCGCCTATGCATAGATATACAATGATAGATAGACAGATGAGTGCTAGTACATTAACGGCATTTTTCTTCCTCCCCTCGCGCTGCTTTTGCCATGGATCGTGCGTCAAAATCAACTCGCTTGAGACTGTGTTCGTGATTTAACGAAAAACCATTGCCGTGCATAAAATACGGAAATTTATCCGCATGAATCTTAAAAACGGTCTGCCCGCAGTGCAAAACACTAGCAACCCCATGACATGGATATGTTCGGTTGGATCGAACTCTGTCTGTGTCGGGTTCGAAGCGCGAGGCTTTTTTTTCTCTCTCTTTCCCCAATTGCTTCTTCATTTTCCTTTCGTTGCGTGTATGCAACTTTTCTCATACACACGGGAAAAAAAACAATGGCAAACAAAACCGAAGAAGAAAGAGAAGAAAAAAATACCAAACAGCACACATATTTTGGCGAGGCGAAAAAACTGCTTTTTCAAAAAGGTTAAATTCCTTGAAAAACTCCAATCGATTTTAAATGACAACACAATGCTTATGAATTGTTATGTCACGAAGTGTTACTGTATTTAACAGAGAGAAAAAAAATGAAATTCATTTGAACTGGAATAAAACGTGAAAATGGTAAATCCTTGCCTGTCACTTCCAATTCACTCCGATCTCCATCGCACACTCCGAATTTTGGTGTGCAGAAAAGATTGAAACCAATGTTTCCGGAAGAGAGAAATAAAAAACGTTTAATAGAAGACAGAAAAAAAGCCACCCCAAAAATGCTGAATAACCATCGTTCACTGACAGAAAAAGTGGAACGATTATGGCACGATGTTGATTGGAACTGAAAGCAAGTGCACTAAAAGTGAATAGCCAGCTGAACGAATGCAGAATGGAAAAAAAACACGACTGGAAAATTGATTAGCATTTAGGTTTCATATAATCAACTGAATAATTTATTTGTACCATTTCTGCGAAAAAAAAAAAATTATGTGTTCGTGTGCAATATCTTGTTTGAGCCAACAGCCGCAGCGCTCACATCACACACATTTTTTGACATCGAGTTGAAATTCTTTTTATCCGTTCGTTCGTTCATTCGTTCGGTGCTATCTGTCGCGTTTATATAAACGCAAGATATACTCATTTTTACTGTTCCTGTGCTGTATATTTGCCAATAAAGTTTTGCTGTTGCTGTCATTTCATATTTCTCTCGACAATTTTTCTTCCCTGTTTAGCCCATAAACAGATAGCTTTTGATATTGTGCACGACGAACAAACAAATAGCGGAAGAAAAAAAAAGTCTGCTTCATTGGTTGCTCTATCGCAGGTTGCAATATACTTATATCAGTATGTATGTTTGTGTGCTTTTCATGCGAATAAAAATCGACAATAAAGTATCTTTTGTGCTCCATCAAACAGGGTAGAGCATTCGGTTATTCGATATATGCTTGATGGTCGTTATAACGTCCAGTGAATGATTTCAAATGAAGAAAAATGCGTTTGATAGTGGTTGTGACGCGTTTGCAGTAGCTTTCTTTCATAACTTTTCTTCCAGTCTATCATGTTGTTGTTCTTTCTCTTCCCGTTTTTTTTCTCCTTCTTCTTCTTCTTTTTTCACATTCTCTTGTTGTATTGTGTGTATATGTTTGCTTCATTTTAATGCTATATGTAGTATAATGGCCTGACGGTTACCAATGAAAAGGACCCTACGGCTTATTTCGTTGCAAATCAAATGGAATGAAACGTGAAATAATAAATAAAAACTAGTACAGAAGAACCGACGACAATGCGAAAATACGGCAAAGCATAAACGCAGCAACGTGTGTATAAGAAATGTGGAGAGTGAAAAGGGGATAGAGCGAGCGTGAATGAATATAGTGTGGCGAAGAACGAAGAGCGAAAGAGCAACCAAATTGTTGTATATATTTCCAGGCGAGAATGTGAGAGTGTAATTGTGAACATGTATCTGTTTGAATGTAGACTAAAGCGAAACGAAAAAGATTATCTGCATTGCAACACATTTCGGTGAAAACACACAATAGCAATAACGGCAGTGGCAGAGCGACACTGAGCGAACTGGTGCTGTATGAGCAAAGCTACAGCAAAAGCACGGCACGGCAAAACCGAGCCAACAACTGACACGCCAACTGAAATCAGGATCAAAGAGAGAAAGAGAGAGAGAGAGAGAGTTACGAACAACAACAACAGCAGCAGCAGCAGCAATAACAAACAACAACAACAACAAGAACAACGACACAGAAAAAAATTACAGCTTGTACCAATCAAACGATGTGCTGGTGCCTTTTTCTGCATTACTTTGGACTATATTTGTACAAACAAAGCGAGAGCCGAGAGCGAACGCGCACCAAAGACAAAACTTTTGCGCTTTGTTTGTTTGATTGCTTTTTTGTGTTGTTGTGATATATATATACCGAAATGAAAATGAAACTAGTTCCTCGCCATCAACCCCGAAAACAACAACCAATGTCTGTACATATATATAATTTACTATTTTGGTGGGCGCTCAACAACATATATATATATATACGGCGAAAAGAAAAGGCCTGAAGAATAAGCGCAGGCCAGTAAATTGTGTTTGTTGATATAAATTCCTGGTGGCTTTGGCGAAAAATATATGGAAGAGGGTAGCTCGCTCATAATTTCATGTTTTCAACAATTTATACCTTTTCAACCTCAAACAAACAGTACAATGAAGCGTTTACACGCAAGAAACTCCGAGCTCAATGTATTATTACATCAATCTCTCTCCTTTCATTTGCCTACTGCTGCTGCTGCCGCTGCTTGTTTTCGTCTTGAATTTGTCGTCACCGCTCACCCAAACAGAATTTCGCTATTTAATATGGAACTGGTGTATATTTCGCTATAATATAGTTTGCATTGTAAATGTTCGAATTGTGAATGGTAGGCAAACATTTTTTTCAGTGTGCCAAAACGCACACCATCCATCCGTCCAATGTGTGTATGCGTTGAAATATTCTAAACACCAAAAACGAAAACTCCGCGGTTTCGGCGAGAGTGTGTCGTCGGCAATGGCACAAAGCGTTCCATTTTCTAAGAATACATAATAAGTGGCAAGGTTCACAGTCAAATAATGCAAATTCTTTTGGAAAATTCCTCCACCTCTCCTCTATTCAGCCATCAAAGTAAGGCGGCACATCACCAACATTGTGGAAAGATATGTGCTGGCACCGACACACCGATCCGTCGATCCGAACAAATAGCAATGCGCTCTGCTCTTCTGCTGCTGTTCACGTTTCATGTTTGTTGAAAAGAGCCCCAGAAGGAATGGGCCAAATAGCAATATGCATACCTCAGTGTGAACATGGATTTGATTTTTTTCTTTGCTCGTGTGTTGTGCTGCGACGTTTTATTTGGAACATGAACATTGTCCGAAATGGCTTGAAAATTTAAGCTTTGGTGGTGTGTGCAGAGTCAGCATTATCCTACTACATATTCCATGGTATATTATTTAGTTTACGTGCGTGCATTGAGATTCGCATGCGAAAGCAGTCAGCCGAAGCAGCACAATAAGAGCTCGGGTTGACTCTGGGGTCTCCTTTTCGGTATACACTTTTTTTCTTCTTCCATTTTTAAAAGAGTCAATACATAAATCGCTTTGATACTATTTGAATATTAACAAAGGCAACGACCAATTGCTAGTGCACAGCTTTAAATGTTCGAATGGGGTGTTTTTGTCGTAATGCGCGTCGGTTTCGACACATTCATTGTGTGTTTGAAAGAATGATTCGAAACTTTACCATTTGTTCCGTATGTGTGTGTGAGTGTGTTTTTGTTTTTTTCTATTCATCATGCGATAGAGAAGTCACGTGAACACAACACATGGAATGTACACAAAGACCACTCAATACACGGCAATAGCGCACTTTTTTTCCATTTACACCAAATAAAGTTATTAGAGAAACAATTCCATATATGGCTTTTCCGATTTATACAGCCAGTAATTATTATAGATTGAGAGAATAAAAAAACACACACGCATTCAATACATCTGCACTCGTACATCCACAACATTGTTTTCTAGTCATATTTGCACTTGTGCTACCTGTTTCCGGTTCTTGTTCCAATCGAATGTCAGTGGCTTTTTTCCCATCCGATGTTATTGCTTCTTCCATGGCTTTTATATAGTATATATCTACGTACATTTATGATCAATAACTATTAAGTACTCGCACTCAATCTAACCATTAATAACAATCATCAGGGAAAGGAGTCGTGCTCATGCGTTCATTTGCCTCATTCATCGACAGACAAATAGAAGTAGAGAAAAAGCGAAGACGAGAGAAATTGGAGAGAAAAACAAAAAGGCCACACGACACAGACTCTGTCATGTGTGTTATATTCACACATGATAAATAATGGAGTTTCATTTGTTGTGTCACATGCTATCGCATGATACACATCGTTCAATGTTCATAAAACAACGCATTTATTGACTTCTAACAAAGCACACTACACACGGATTCACCCCGGAGCGCGGTGGAAATGAACTCAAATTTATGTCAGTTCCATGGATATAATTACGCTTTCTATATCCTTAAGCAACACAAACCAATTGTCTAAAAACATTTTCACCACGTCGCATATGCAACAAACAATGAACCAAAAACAGATTGCACGATGATTTAATGGAAAATACATCATATTCGTTAATGTTTCTATTTTAGAATTTTGGGAAATGAGCCTCGAAATCTCAATCCAAAATCGCAATGAAAAAGCACTCGTCGGTGTGTCAGAGAACCTTGTGAAATATGGCAAATTATTATTGACGCCAACGAAATGCGGAGCGCCATGACGAAATGTAAATGAAGCGAGATTACATAAATCCAATGGAGCGAACGATCACGAATGTTACGATTTCTCAAAGTAAATAAATAAATGACAGCAGGGAATTATGCCAGTCGATTTGTGACGTTCGAATTACGAGCCGAGTACAATTTTTGTGCGCCCACCAGAATCAAAATCACAAAGTGTATACACGCAAAACAGAAAAGTTATGAACACAAGAAAAATGAACGACCAGCAAAAATATCGAACCATGATAAATATTGAATGCAATCAATCACGAGTTGCTATGGTGCAACGAAGTGCATCAATTCGCTTTGGCACACAAAAATTAGTATCGACACGGTGACGAAGAAAAAAAAAGGAACCACAAATGCATCGGTTTCTAAGCTACGATTGAGCTGCCAACGATGACCAGTCGAAAATAATTCCATGCCAATTGAATTGCAAATTGAATGCAAATCGAATGAATAAAATTTCGCGCACAATTTCATTTTCAATAATTTCGTTACCATTTTCACCCCATTTCCCCGCGTCCGCAACTCTCGTCAATAAGCTAAACCAAATCCAACACAATATGGAACGTGTGCCAACAAACGCGACGCTTAATTGATATGGAAAGTGCAAATTGAAATTAAAATTAAAACGATTTGCATATAGAAAATACGTCAATGGCACTCACGTGTTGTGTATCCGTGTCTCACTCTCTTTTGACCGACGCTCAAAGCGTCGCGCTTTCTGTGTCTCTCTCTCTCTCTCTCACTCAATGCGATGTGCTCATGCTGTTGTTTTTCGATGTGCTACAAATGCAGTCAAAGGGACGTTGAGTACGGACGTGCGCGGACGCATTTTCAACAGCCGAAAAAGCGGTCGTGTTTATGAGAGGCACAAAGAGTGTGTGTGTGTGTTTTTATGTTCATGTGTGAGCTCCATTAATTTAATAACATTAGATTTAATTAAAAAAAAATACGTTCGCGAACGCTGCAAATTGCCACTTCTCTCTGTCCATTCAATCCATTTTTGTTTTCTTCTTTATCCCATCGTGTGTGTGTGCCACAGCCGCTTCTGTTTCTCTTAATTTTATTCATTTCGTACTTCTTTCATTCATTTTGATATTTATAAATCCGTGTATATTTTGATGCGAAAATTTTCAAACAAAAGCTTTACGCGTTGAGTTTGAAACATCAAAGCTTTCCACATCATCTCCGGCTGGCTAACTGCTGTTGTTGTTGTTGCTGTTGTGTGTTTGGGGAACGTGAAATCCACTCGATTTATGTGAAACTGCTGTAAATTGTAGCGCTAAATGAATTAAAATGTTCTGGTTGACTTCGTGTGGATTTGTTTTCATGACAATCAACACGTCGAACGCTTAGGCATTGTATACATAGATATATATATAAATCCTAGAACGAAGCTTTTGTAGAAAAGTTTTTTTTTTGCAAACCAATTTTGTTTAATCGCTTCACCTCCAGCAGAGAGCAATTTTTGCCCATTTTACCATCCTCCCTGTTCGAATAATTTATGCATAAAGTGTATGTGTGTGTGTGTGTGTGTGTGTTGGCAAATAGTCCCACACCGTCGGTTTTTTATTCTTTTGCCGTACGTATGGACAATTTATCAAACATTCACATTTGTTGCAAAACAGAGACGCGAGAAAAAAAAACTAGAAGAATAATTGTTTTTTCATTTCCATTTCGCTGATTGAGCTTTTTGTTCGTTGGACTGGTGCGTGTGTGTGTGAGTTTGTATGAGAGAAAGTGTACAATTTTTATTCTCTCTTCTACAATAGCAAACACAGAAAAAAAATAATAATTTTGTACCATTTTTTATATTCTGTAATATATGTGAAAGCCATTGAACACCCGATATCTCAAAGCTTCGAAACGAAATGACCTCAGTTCGAGCACGAACTATTTAATTGGAGTTTTAACCCATTAGTTGGTGTGCAGTTACTTTTTTCTATCTCTTTTTCGCTGTGTCTGAATAATTTATATTTATTGAAAAGCAATTAATGCGACCATTACTACGTACCGTACTGAGCTCATTTAAAAGTTAGATAGCCAAATCATAATCACCATATAAATACACATTTTTTTATATATATCCATCGTGCGAGTCCGATTTTACTGTATAAAACAACACATATCCAATTGTTTTTTGTGGGAACAAAACCCATACATTTTTTATAACTTGTTGCATATTTTTCCCTCTCTGTCTCTCTCTAACTTTTTTTTATAGCTTTCGTATTGTATTTTGTTGCCATTTTATCGTCTGCTTTTATGAAGAAAAACCAAACCATATACCAACGTCACATTATATTTATATTATTTTATCTATATTATCTATCCAGCATAAAAACAAATAAAAAATGATTACGACAAATCGTTCGGTTTAAATGTCCATATTCAAGTCCAAAGTTCTTAGTATACGAATAAACATACGAGAATAAAAACCGTTTCGGAAATTGAGTTGTACGAGATATCATCCATATTTCACACACTGCCGAAATGTATGACGAAAAAGACATTGCGTCATGACACACAAAATGAAATGTAAAAATAGACAAAAAAGACACTTTCAATAAAACGACGCTTTAAAATATCAACAAAATCAAATCCAAAACAGTGGGAGAGAGAGAGAGAAGAAAAGAGTAAGCAGTGGCGAATCGATCAAAAAGAAAACACAAGTAATGGTGATTGATGCACGTTAAGAAATATGGAACTGACAATATATGCTCGACGAACATTGGCAACAATCCCATGAGCTGTCGATAAAAAAGTTGAAAAGTCAAGCAAACTACAACCCAATTGGAAGACAAAGCAAGAGGCGGAGATCGCCGAAAGCTACACATACTGCGAGCGAGACAACAACATCATCATCATCATCAGCAGACGAAGAAGTAGAAAGACAAGCGAACAACATGAATGAATCGCGTAGCGACAGCATGAATAATGGGATGCCGGCCAGAATTTTGATAGACGATAGGATAATAACACATAAACTGATTGCATTCAGCTGGAAACTGACATGAACGTCGAACGGCTGGCAGAAATAGAGAGAAACACAAAGGAAGAGAGCGAGTGAGAAAATGGATAAATGCTAACCAATTTGCAACGACCATTTATTTTAAAACACTGAAGTGTTTGTGTGTGACAAAACGACCAATTAGCGTTTACGCTTCAATTTACCAATAGCTTAGCTATAACAAAGCAAAACAAAAGTAAAAAAAACACACCCTTTGTAGATAAATCCAATGCCACTTAAGTACTCGTAAAAAGTAATAAAAAGCTTAACACAACAAGCAACAACAATATCAAGAACAACAAAAGAGAAGAAGTAAATACAATACAACTCCAAATGCGACCGAGAAAAATCCCGTGGAATTATGTAAACCAATCGTCACACTCTCAAGATGGATACAATTGACAGGGGGCGATAATATTTATACAATAGTCAAAACTCAACTCACAACATAACAACAACAGTAACAGCAACAGCAACAGAGAAAAAGAAGAGGAGAAACCAATCCAAAAAAGAAACGATATAGAGAAGAACCATAACACCATCAAATTGAAATTGAATCGGACAAAAAAAAATCCATTTTGCAACACTTGAAATAGCTTTACACCGGAGAAGGGGAGCAAGAGCAGCATGGCTGCAGTAGCTGGACTGTATGGCTTGGGTGAGGAAAATCGTAAATATCGTTTGAAACAAGCTGCGCACGATCGCGAAGCGGCTAAGGCTAAGGAAGAGCATAAGCATGCCGATAAAACACCCGATGGATTTAGCGAACCGTAAGAATATCTCATAAACACTCTCACATATTTTCCAATCAATTTTTTTCCATTCATTTAACCAACCAAACAAATATATATATATATATATATATCTATATCTATATCTATCTATATATATATATATATATATATATATATGAAAAAGCAACAGAAAAAAAAAACGTTGACAGTAAAGAAAAATGCGATATGACAGACAGAATCATATATGAAATCAGGGCATAAACAGGATGAAAGAACAAACGAACGAACGTAACGAATGAAAAAAAAAACATTTATGAGAAAAGAAGAATATGAAAAGAAACGTGAGTCAAAGCAGACGCGTCGATGATGAAAATGTGATATTTTATACAGTTTGTATTTTGGCCAATTTGATTTTTATTTTTAAATTTCCGAAATATTACGTATAAATAAAATCAGATGATGATGTTTTGATATCGTATATTTTCCCCTCTTGATACGGCTATGACAGCGACGACGACGACGTCGATCAAATACGTGAATGGCATTCGAGCTGAGCCGAGGCGAGGCAAATCGGGCAGCAAGAAGGAAAAACGCCAATTTTTCAAATATCATTTTATCGTTCGTTCTCTTGCTGGCGGAGAGAGAGAGAGAGAGAGAGAGAGAGAGAGAAAGAGCGTGTCTCTTGAGATCGCTATTTGTTGTTTTTTTATGGCTTCTTGCCTCAGCGAAAACTCACATTGGCTCAGCTGCCATATCATCTTAGCTAATTTTTTCTGCAATCGAAGTCTGGCCATACGCACGCGTCTGTGCACATTCGTTATGAACCCAATTTTTTTTTTTTGACCCAACTTTTTTTTTCCGTTGTTGCTGTTGTTGCCCATTCGAAAGGAAACCAACGACAAAAAATTCGTGTGAATTTTTACGTGAAATATGACCGTGGCAATTTTGTCACTCAACTATTCTGCGGTTTTGAGGACTTTTTTTTTTTTTGCTCCGCTTGCTTCACTCAAATTAAATAAACCATCACGAGAAATGAAAAATCTGTGAAATGATTTGTATATTTTTGTTGTTGTTGGTCGGGAATACATTTTTCGGGTCGCATGACGTTGAAGCGTACGCTTCGATAGGCACTGGACGAACAAATGAAATGGATATACATCGGTTTTGATTACGTATTTTGATTTGAAGTTGTTTTTCTTTTTCTTTTTTTTTCGTACTCATTCATGACACACAACTTGGTTTTTACTTTTATTCGGTTGTCGTGATTTGTTGATGGAGACAGCGTCCGTGAGTTTGGAGTATGCTCTGTTTGCAAGTATTTTAATTGGAATTTGGAACCCACGGTGAAACATTTGACAATCTTTTTTATACAGCTATACGCATCTAGACGAGGATTGTCAGTGTGTTTATATCGATGGGAAAGCACGATGATGATAAAAAAGAACATAAACTACATATATGCCAATCGAATTACTCGTATTTTGAGTAATCATGAGTTTGTTGTTGAAATCATATTTGAGTTTCTTGTTGAAATTCACAATTGAGTTGTAGGTGCGAGCATTGGTTTCCCATTTTTGTTTCGGTTTTTCGTTTCTTTTTCGTTTTCATTACACCAAAATAGATCTCTTCTATTATCTTTCATTAGCCGGGACAATCATGAACCGTCATCAACCTATCACTTACAGCCAATTAACCGAACAATAAAAAAAATCAGTCCCCTCAAAGCCAAGCCAAGCCAAACGATACGTATACGCATAGAGAAAAAAGAAACTAGAGTATACCATGGAAGAAGAAGGTCTATCGTTTTGTTGAATTTGAAGTGGGCACAAAACGGATAGATTGTTTGGATGCTGTCATGACGAAGGCATGATATTCAGCTAGTTGATTATACTTTTGTGTAGACGCTATTGACACTTTTTAGTTCTTTAATAATTCACTGTATCAAATCGTTTCTTTTCCCTTCGGTTCGTTATTTTTCTTCTTCTTCTCTTCAATTCGATTCAGTTGGTCGTATTATTGTTGTTGAAATGATGTTTCCTGCGTCATCGCATTGTGAAATCAAATTAAAAATCATAAAAATTCAATAAGATGACAAAATAAGAAAATTTCCACGGAAACAGAGACAAAATCTCAACGATCCAAATTCGTCGCAGTTTCGTTTACTGAATCCATTTTTCCATAGTGATTTTCCATGAAACCAAGACGAAGAAGCATACAATCGAGCAAAAGCATTTACCCCATTCATTACCATCCTGTTGATTAGTTAATGATATGAGAAAACGAGAAAACGAGACACAAACTCTCAGATCCAACCACCTCACCATCACCATCACCACCAACACCATCATTATCATCCCCAACAAAGTCGAAAATTGAAAGTTCTCGTTACTGCTCGCTAGATACAATTTGATGTCCGTTACATTGTGTATGTGTCTAGAGGTATTATTTTGTATAAATAGGCATTGAATGAAATTAACAAGCAAATCCGTGCGATGAAGTCAAACGATAATCTTATGTATTTGAGAAATTGGATTGCCGACAAGAGAAGTCATGAGACGTTGACTGCTATTAGGCGGCTCTCAAATTACCATTACTATGTAAATAATTACGAAAGTAAATTGATATTGATATGTAAACGTTGTTACTAAATTACTGTACCGTACCGTACAATACAACAGACGAAACATGACTCGTCTTACAGATCGATAAATAATATTTCAAATAATTTCAAATAATAAAAGTTTTCCGTTTTAAGCTCTCGTGCCGTTTCTGCTGCCGTCGTCGGTAAATAACGTAAGTATCCACCACTGTCCCCGGCCAGAGTGTGATGGCAAAGTTTTCACCGTAAAGAAACTTCCAATTGAATTGTTCCAATTAGGAGAGAAAAAAGTTTTTAAACCAAACTATTTCGACAAAACGGCCCGTCACTACGTGTCCATTGGCGACGAGAGAGCACAAGACACACTTCCACTTGATTTCATTATGCTCATTACCGAATGATGGAATAGAAGAGCTCAGAAGTACTTAAAGTTTGAGAAAATTTGCAACGGCATTCAATTTTAACCCAAATCCAATGGAACTAAAGAAACCATTCAAGGCACAAGTTTCAGAGTTAGTGAGTGTGTTATCTCAACACACAGCCAATTATATTTTTTCAAATGGAACGGATAATCATGTAGTTGCTGCTGCTACTGCTGTGTGGTCAAAAATTAATCCCTAATTTTTCGGGATTAACATCGATGTAACGATATTTTTCAAGCACATTTGTTTTGTTGAAGACAACGTATGCCAACGCATCTGAACGCATTGCAACGCGCAGCGCTTTGTTTTCATTACGGTACGTATGTGGTTACACAGTTTGAGAATCATCGGATTTTCCGAGTTTGCGGGAGAGAAAATGCGGATTGAGAGCGAGAGAACCGAGAGAGAGTGAAAAAATATGTATGCCAAATGAATGAGCATCAAACAATCCAGAGCAAACGAAACACGCTCGCATGTGTTGTCGTATGCATGGCGCGTATCATAGTATACACACATTTCAAGCCATACAGTTGAAAGCATCGAGCAACGATTTTGCGCACATTTCCACAGCTTTCAAAAAGACTGAAATTCATTCTCTTTCTCCGTTTTCGTCAATCATCGCACACACATACCAGCCGCTGTCGTTGACAACAAATTCCCAATACCAATACCGAGAATGTGTAAATGTTGAGCATCCGAATTGCTTTAGCGTGACTTTTAAACTCATATACATGTCTCTGTCTATTGCGCTGCCCGTGAATGACTATCGTCATGAATTAAACCACAGAGCGCGCGCTGAGTTTTCAATCATATCATTTTCGTTCTCACTTTAGCCCAAAATGCTGGTTAGAATCTCTCACTCACACACCCACATGCAAACAAATCTGAATCGTCCGGTTGTGTTGTTGCAGGCAGCCAACGTGCGAGTGAGCAGTACGACTGCTGTGCGATGTTACTGAACTTCAAAAAAACGCCAACAATCCACACATACAATCACATGCGAAAGCTCTTCTATACGCTCGCTCTCTCTCACTCATCCTTGCTTCATGTGGAATTGGACGAGGAAAAAGGTTGCTTTTTTTTCTCTTCTTCTTCTCATTCGATTCGTTCGAGTTTTTCATTCGAAGAGAGATCGACGGGCGCAAAAAAAAATTTCGTATGGCAAACGCAAGGCAGTATTAGTGAAAATTATCAGCAGAACAACGTATCAAAACGGAAAATAAAGTAAAAAAAAAAGAAAATCGTCAATTTTTTCACGATTTGCAAGTGATAAAAATTATTATTTTTTGTTTGTTCTCTTGGTAAAGTCGTACACGAATAATTGAACGAAATTCTCGTGAGAGAGAGAGAAAAGTGTGTGTGGTGTTTGGAGCACCACATTGAAAATATTTGACTGTAAAAGAAGAAAATTTGGCCAACAGCATTTCCACTGTTTCAACGTGAATTGAGTATTCGCTCTGTGTGAGAAAACATTTTGAGAGCTAGTGTGTGTTTGAGTCTGTGTGTGGAGGATTTTTCGGAGATTTCATCAAGTGCAAAATGCGAATCCTGAATCAATCCATTACATAAATTCCGAAAGGTGTTATCCAAATTCCGGAGTGCAATTTTGGTCCAAATGACCGTGATTTTTTTTTTTATTCAACTATTTTTCCATTCATTTTACTCTTGCTCTCTCTCTCTGTGTGTAAGTGTGTCTGAGGTGGAATATCATTTGCATTTTCATCTCAACACACAACAAAATAGTTTGATTTATTGCTGAATTTTTTTTTCTCTTAATGACCGAGAAGATTTTTCTTTTTTCGCTCATTCGGTTAAAGTGAACGATATTTCGAGTTTGTTATTAGAATTTGTACAACAAAGAAAATGTTCGACGGTCTCGGTCAGTTGAGGGAATAAAACAAAGTGTTCCACACCCGAATGCATGCCAAATGAAAAAATGAACAAAAAAGAAAAGACGAAGAAAAAATTCTTCACAGAAAAACGAAATCGAATGGTCATCTCTACGGTTGAATAAA